CTTTAGCTTCAACTTGAACTTGCATATGAGTGATTGGTGGTCTGTTCCACAGTCGACCCCTGGCCTTGTTCTGACTGATGATATTGAGTTTTTCCATCCTCTCTTTCCACAGATGTAGTCAATTTGATTCCTGTGTATTCCATCTGGTGAGATCCATGTGTATAGTCACCGTTTATGTTGCTGAAAAAAGGTATTTGCAATGAAGAAGTCATTGGTCTTGCAAAATTCTATCACGTTATCTCCGGCATCCTTTCTATCACCAAGGCCATATTTTCCAACTACTGTTCCTTCTTCTTTGTTTCCACTTTTGCATTCCAATCACCAGTACTTATCAACACATCTTGATTGCATGTTTGAACAATTTCCGACCGCAGAAGTTGCTAAAAATCTTCAATTTCCCATTAGTGGTTGGCACGTAAATTTGAAAAACAGTCGTATTAACTGGTCTTCTTTGTAGGTGTGTGGATATTATCCTATCACTGTCGGCACTGTACTTCAGGATAGATCTTGAAATGTTCTTTTTGACGATGAATGCAATGGCAATCATCAATTTTTCATTCCTGGCATAGTAGGTCATATAATTGTTCACACACAGGAAAAAAACATTATTTGATGGTTACAAGGGTGGTGAGGGAGAGAGAGAAAACCACTACTAGATAGTAGACAAGTGTCAGTTTTGGTGAAGGCAAAGACAACACACAGTATAGGGGAATTTAGCACAATCTGACCAAAGCTAAGGCCTGGAAGTTTCCTAAACACATCCAAACACCTTGAGGGACCAAGTTGCTGGGCCTTGAGGCTGGGGACCATAGTCTCAGAGGACACATAGGTCAATTGGCATACCATAGTTCATAAAGAAAATGTTATACATCCCTCTTTGGTGAGTAGTGTCTGGGGTCTTAAAAGCTTGCAAGCAACCATCTAAGATGCATCTATTGGTCCCGCCCCGTTTGGAGCAAAGCAAAATGAAGAAAACCAAAGACACAAGGAAAATATTAACCCAAGGACTAAAGGACCACATGAACCAGTCTTCAGTAGCCCAAACCCATAAGAACTAGATGGTGCCTGCTACCACCACCAACTGCTCTGACAGGGATCACAACAGAGACGTCCCAGACAGAAGAGGAGAAAAATGTAGAAGAGAATTCAAATTCATAAAAAAAACCAGACTTACTGGTCTGACAAAGACTGGAGGAACTCCTGAGACTATGGCCCCCAGACACTCTGCTAACTCGGAACTGAAATACTCCCAAAGCTCACTATTTAAACAAAGATTAGACAGGCCTATAAAACAAACAGGAGCCCTGGTTTCACAGTG